GTTATTTATGTGTATGTTCCAGAGAAAACATTCCTTAGAGGTTTTTGTACTTTATTCCTTCTGTGTGGGTTATAAGGCCACTTTCTGTATGTAAATCATTCTGTAAAGCTCCTGTATGTAAATTATTCACATTGTTTGTGGGGTGTGTGTGTGTGTGTGTGTAGGTAGAGGAGGGTGGTAAGGCCGGGTCTCTACAGTGCCCCCTGCTGGTCGGGGATGAAGTGGTCATCATCAACGGTGTGGAGCTGAGTGGGTTCAGGCAGGAGGCCATCTCTCTGGTCAAAGGATCCTACAAAACTCTCCAACTCACAGTGCGTAGGTAAGAAAGCACACTTCCTGAGATACACACACACTTCAAGGCTCAAACTTCCAGCCATTAAATATATGGATAAAATGCTGGCCATGCGTTCTTTAGAATACAGTGTTACCTGCCATGATTTCATCAGTAGATCAAGTCTGGAAATTTAATACATGCCATTTATGGTGGCTGGCAGTAGCACAGCTTGGTCTGTAGGGGGAACACTGTGAACCAGTAATCCTCTGAGAGCAGGATATGTAGTGTGTGTGTGTGTGTGTGTGATCTACAGAACAGAGACAGGAAATATATAATTAAGGCCAATGAAATTGACACCTCTGACATGTACCAACACACACACACGGTTACAGTAAGGCACCGTGATTGGAAAGAGTAGATGCAATAGTACTCTAGTACTTCCTGATTGGTGTAAGGTATTTTGATTGTTAGAAAGGGTTGTGATGTTTCTGATGTTCGGATGGTGCTGTGACTTTTTAAGACATACTGATGGGTTGAAGCAGCTGTGATGTTTCTTAAGGTGTTCTGATATTATTAAAGCATTCTGGTTGGTGGAAGCAGTTGTGGTACTTTTTAAGACATGCAGCTTGGTAGTAAGAGCTGTGATGTTTTTAAGGAATGGTGATTGGTAGAAGGAGCAATAATGTCTTTACGACATGCTGATTGGAGGAAGCTGCTGTGATGTTTATTAATGCTGCATTCGACTAAGGATCCTCCCAACAGTCTCCTGAACCCCAAGTTTAGCAAATGATGTCAAATCAACATGGCTGCTCACAGCACGAACAGGAAACAAAGTAGCACATCCATCCATTCATTTTCTGTACCGCTTATCCTACACAGGGTCACAGGGGAGCCTGGAGCCTATCTCAGGGGACAACGTAGGGGACACCCTGTACGGGGTGCCAACCCATTGCAGGGCACAATCACACACACACATTCACACACTATGGGCAATTTGGAAATGCCAGTCAGCCTACAACGCATGCTTTTGGAATGGGGGAACTAAGCCAGAGTACCCGGAGGAGGTCCCCGGGGTATGGGGAGAGCATGCGAGCTCAGCACACGCAGGGCGGCGGCAGGAATCAAACCCCCAACCCTGGGATTGCGAGGTGAACGTGCCAACCACTAAGCCACTGCGCCCCCCCCAGTAGCACGTCTTATCTTTATATGAGTTATACTGTGTATATACAAGTATTTGCTTTAGATCAATCAACATACAGACATATTCACTTGTTAAATCTATAAGGCTGACTATACAGATTGCAGATTTGAGGAGGTAAATATACATCGCTCATCAGAAGACAAACATGGAGGCGTCCATGTTTTTTCTCCACTTTGTAGCTCCAACACATGAACTTGGACAAGGTCGAAATGATGTAATTCTAAGTTCCGACTTCCCAATTTCGAGGTAAGTGGAATGCAGTATGAGGTGCCCTACGGGTTTCTAAATGATTCTGATTGTTGGAACGAGCCGTGATGTTTCTTTAGGTGCGCTGGTGTTTCTAAGGCGTTCTGATTGGTGGAAATGGTTGTGATGGTTCAGTGATTTAGGTGAATTGTCACTGCATACACTTGAGATGAGCAATCATGGTAGCAAAATTCACACACTGACACACAATCTTCACACACGGGGCATTTCACACACTCAGCCCTTCTCCACCTGTCTCTCTTACATACACACTCAGAGACATGGCCTTTCTCAGGCTTAGTAACATAGTTATAAAGGCAGGCATTGTGTGACACCTGTGTGGCCGTGTGAGGGGTGGAGGTGGGGGAGCGTAATGAAAGAACAAACAGAGAGAAATTGAGAGGATGAGAAAAGATGGCTGGTGAACATCCTGAAGAGATTAAGATCGCTCATCTTCAATAACCACTTGATATTGGTCTGGGTTGTAGTGGATCCGGAGCCTATCCCTGGAACATTGGGTGCAAGGCAGGAATACACAATGGATAGGACGTCAGTCCATTGCAGGGGATATAGAGGATCATTTTGACTTAATGATATGTAACAAGTGTTTCAGTCTAGTCACATGTAGCCCCTCTCTTTTCCCTTAATTCTTCAGTAAAAATAATGAGGTTAGGCAATTATGAATTGAAGTGATGATACAAGAAAAATACAACAAATTGCCTGTACAACAAATTTGCTTGTGTATGTTTACCCCTAGCCCCACCCTGCCCCTCTCCGCTGGGCACTGTATCTTTGGATGAAGAGAAGTGAACAGAAGACTTTCAGACTATAAATTACATTAAGTGTAAAATCCTGTTAAGACTGACAAGGCTATTGACTGGAACGAGACAGGAATTCCTGGGAAATTATTGGGATGCATGAACAGCGTTACCAGGAAAGATGCACTGACATCTTCTGAGGTACCTGATTTAAAACATTAAGCACCGTGAAGCAATGAGTGGAGGAAAAGAATAAGTACAGGAAGAAAAAAAAACCAGCAGAAATGTAAAGTTTATGGGACACAGTCACTACAGGATCTCAGAAAGGGAAATCCACAAATTAGGACAAATAAAACCAACTATTCAGTTAGAACAAAAGAATTAGCATGTGTCTAAGGTAGCGTGTCATAGGGGACTATGTAGGCCAGCATGTCGGTTGTGCCTTCATCAGTGGATGTTCGTGGACGTCCCACGTCCCACTCTGTTTGAATTTGTTAGTAAGTTTGGCAGCAGTGTGGTGTGTGATGTGCTTGCCACATTTCCTGTTACAGACCACCGCAACCTTGCGACAGCTTCCCGATTCAGCCTTGAGAACGATTGCAATATGTTCTTCTTTTGTCAAAGGCATTCTTAAAGGCTATCTGAGAAAATATATATTATAAACTAAGTATGAAACATTTTGGAAGACATTTTGCTAAAAAGTGTTCATTTCCACTATGAATGGAGGCTTTTGGGACACCCCGTATAGCCAGCTATGCCTGACAGCAGTGTTTGTGTGGCCCCAGTGTCATCATTCAGAACTACTAAGGGACTACATGAGAGCGCATTTAAGACTCTGTATTTGTGTAAATAAGAGTACAGGACACATTCATGGTTCTGCAGTGAATGAACTGCTGAGAGCAGTGGAGACTGGAGCCTGAGAAACTGGAGATTTGTTGGACATTTCTCAGGAATATCCCCAGAGTTGTATTACAAAGCTACCAGAACATTGTACAAGTAGAACATTGTACACAAGTAGTGCAATAGTGCATTTTGAAAGGGGAAGATCTGTGTGTGCAATGCAGCTGATTTTAGATGATGGCCAAAAGTGTGTGGACACTTGACCATCACACCCATATGTGGGTCTTCCCCAAACTGATGCCACAAAGTAAGAAACACACAATTGTACAGCATTTCTTTGTATGTTGTAGCATTACAATTTCCCTTCATTGGAATTAAGAGGCCAGAAACATGTTCCAGCATGTCAGTGCCCCTGTGCACAAAGCGAGCTCCATGAAGACATGATTTGTCAAGGTTGGAGTGGAAGAACCTGAGTGGCCTGGACAGAGCCCTGACCTCAACCCCACTGAACACCGTTTGGATGGTTTGGAACGCAGACTGCATTCCATGCCTTCTTGTGCGACATTAGTGCACGACCTCACTAATGCTCTTGTGGCTGAATGAGCAAATCCCCATAGCCACACTTCAAAATCTAGTGGAAAGCCTTCCCAGAAGAATGGAGGTTATTATAACAACAAAGTGGGACATGGAATAGTATGTTAAAAAAGCACATACTGTGTGGGTGTGATGATCAAGTGTCTACAGACTTTTTGGCCAGAGTGTATTTTCCTATTTTCACAGAAATCTGGGTGTAGATTTAGATCCCAAATGAGCAATCAAGAGACAACAGTGGCAAAGAAAACTCCCTGAAATGACATAAGGAAGAAAACGTAAATGAAACCAGACTCAAATGGTAACTGAGTGACACCGGATATTGGAACTATAAATCATTACAGTATACAGGTGTAGAAGAGTAAGAGCAAACAATACTGTGTGTGTTTTTTACACAGGGCAGTCTTTATGATTACAGCAGCAGTTCTTGGGTAGAAGTTTCCTTCTAATATCCAAATGAGATTATGCACTGAGACAAGAGTAAGGCTTGGGCATAAACTGTTTTTAGGAAGAGAAAATTTTAAGGGCATCCACGTGGGACGATCCGCGGCAGCTGAGAGTAAGTTACAAGCATCTGGATGTAGAGGAACCCACTCCAGAGAAATTAGGATTTAGATATTTATGTAGCCTAACCTGCTCCCCAGGCCAAACTCAGAAATACACGCTTAGACAGTTTAACACGAAAAACTGTCACGCAAATTTGGATGCCATTCATTCATTTATAGGTGTGTCTGAAACACAAGGCAGCTGCCTTGATCCCTTGATGCCTTGCTGTTTCATAAGTCAGTTTTATTATGACACAATGCTTCAAAATCTATGAAGGTGCTTGTAAGAAAATGCTTTGAGACCGACTTCCACGGTGCTAGGTTACTACCCTAAAGTTCATTAGGAATAAAGTATACTTGAAAAAAATAAGATTGAATATTTTCCACTAGAAATGTTTTTGTTGTTACCCTTTTGGCAGCTCCCAGGTCTGTGTATCATTGGTCTGTGTGTTTGATTTGGTAGTTTTTATGCTGGATGCCCTTCCTGATGCAATCCTCCCCAATTGTGTCTGGGCTTAGAACTGGCACTGAGAGCACACTGTTGGTTCCCTGGCTGGGAATTGAGCCTGGGCTGCAGTAGTGAAGGTGCTGTGGCCTAACCACTAGTCCTCCAGGGACCCCCATTTTCCACTAGAAATAAAAGTATATAAAAAAAAACTACCTTGTTGATGTGAGAGGTCAGTGGAGAATGGCCAGGCTGGTTCAAGCTGACAGAAAGGCTACAGCTGCTCAGATAACCACTCTGTACACTTGTGGTGAACAGAAAAGCATCTCAGAATGCACAACACATTGAACCTCAAGGTGGATGGGCTACAACAGTAGAAGACCACTTCTTATCAAATCTTAGCCAAAACCGAAATTCAGACCACTTTTGACTGAAAATCTAAAACGAAAATTGGATTTTTAAATTATCCGTAACTAACTTTTTGTATTGTTGCATTAGTTCTAAAAGCATTAATTAAAAGCATTACTGCATTAATGGGAAAAAAAACAAAAAACTTTTAAAATCTTTTTTACTCCACACTAATCCACAAGGCCGAGTTGACAGTAAATAAAACATATTAAATGTAATATGAAACTATTATACTTGCTCTGCATATTAACAGAGATTCCAAGCTTTCAACTTGTGTATTAAACTGCTGAAAAAAAAAAAAAATCAGTGCCATATATGGATCCTGGGAATTTAAGGAAATTTCATAAATTTTGGTCAAAAGACGACCAAGAAGACAGTGTACTTAAATAAACACCAAACTCAAAACATTTTAAAATTAGATTTGGGCAGTATTTCCTGGAATTTTCTGGAAATTAATTTTTCATTCAAAATCTTGCGAACAACAGCTAAATCAATAGCCCACTAATGACACAAGTCTTAAGTATGGTAATATAAATTGTACGTGTGTGTGTGTGTGCGTGCGTGTTGGGGGTGGGTGTGTGTGTGTGTGTGTGTGTGTGTGTGTGCAGCAGTAGTGTAGACAGTGTAGTAAAAGAATTATACTCAGGAATAAATATTTAACAGTGCCGCTTACATCTACCATCTGCCCAGCTTTTCTGTCTCTCCTTTCCTCTCTCCATTTCCTCCTTACTCTTACTCCCTCCTTCTCACCGTTTCTTTATTTTTGATATCAACAAAACAACGCAGAACGATTGCTTGAGTTAATGTGTGCTCACCACTGAATCTGTGTGTTTGTGCACATGTGTGTGTGTGTTGGGGTTTTTCTGTGCTGTTAAAATATAACAAACATATGCAAAGTATATGTGTGTATGTGTTTGTGTGTTTTAATCAAATACAGGCGTATATACGTATATTCCTTCAATGTCTATTTTTCCTGTATCTAAAAATGAATAATATTGGGACACCACCATATCCTATCAAATCGAATTTTGTGTATCGGTGCACTATTAATGTATATACATTCTCATATAAATGTATATATACATACACATTTTTGCTATACACTGAAGACATTTGCGTTTGAGAAAAGAAAGTATTGCATCAGATAGTCTTAAAGTAAATTAAAGTAAATAACACTTAATATTTGGTTGCATATCCCTTGCTTGCAAATAATTCAGCTGGTCAAGGCCATCACCAAACTGTTGCATTCTTCTTTTGTGATGCTTTGCCAGGCTTGTACTGCAGCTTCTTTCAGTTGTTGTTTGTTTTGGGGGGTTTCTCCCTTCAGTCTCCTCTTCAGGAGGCGAAATGCATGCTCAGTTGGTTAAGGTCTGGTGATTGACTAAATCCAGGCCAGTCTAAAACCTTCCATTTTTTTCCCCTGATGAAGTTTTTTGTTGTGTTGGCAGTGTGTTTTGGTTCATTGTCTTCCTGCATGATGAAGTTCCTCCCAATTAGAATGAATTCATTCTGCTATGAGTAGCATCATCCATAAAAATTAGCCCATTCCAGAAGCAGTCATTCAAGCCCAAGCCATGACACTACCTCCACCATGCTTGACTAATGAGCTTGTATGTTTTGGATCTTGAGCAGATCTTTTCTTTCTCCACATTTTGGCCTTTCCATCACTTTGGTAGAGGATAATCTTGGTTCCAAAACTTTTGTGGCTCATCTCTGTATTTCTTTGTGAATTCCAATCTTGCCTTCTGATTCTTACTGCTGATGAATGGTTTACCTCTTGTGGTATGGCCTGTGACACCTTCACTGTCCTGTGGAGGTTCCTGGTGATGTCACTGACTGTTGTTTTTGGGTTTTTCTTCACAGCTCTCACAATGTTTCTGTCATCAACTGCTGTTGTTTTCCTTGGCCGGCCTGTTTGATATCTGGTTGTTAGTACACCAGTGGTTTCTTTCTTTTTCAGGACATTCCAAATTGTTGTATTGGCTATGCTAATGCTTGTGCAGTGGCTCTGATTGATTTTCCCTCTTTTCTCAGTTTCAAAGTGGCTTGTTGTTTTCCCATAGGCAGCTCTTTGGTCTGCATGTTGGTTTATCCTTTTTTTAACAAAAAAGACAGTCTTCACAGGTGAAACCCAGGACTCAAACCAAGAGTAGACATTCAGAGCTATTAAATGTTTAAACAATCAACCTAACAGGGCACACCTGAACAACAAGAAACACCTGTCAGTCACATGTTCCAATTTTTTTGATCATTTGAAAAATGGGTGAGTAGAAGCAAAAGGTGCTGTGTTCCAAGTTTTGTAACACATGTAGATATCAGGAAATGAAAGCTGAAGTTCTGATATATCGTTTCATACTCATCTTGTGATCTCAAACCCAAATATCTTCAGGCGTTTCAGTACTTTCAGAAGGGTCTGTATAAAGCAACTGCAGTGTACTTCAGAGGTAGTAATAATTAAACAAAGTTTCCTGGAAACGGGATGTTTTGTCATTCTTCAGCTGTGCATAGGATTACTGTTCTTTTGCTTTTACTACCTCCACCTTTATGTTCATAATTTAGATGGTTTATTATTATTGTTTTTGATGTTGTTGTTATTGGTATTAGTAGTAGTATATTGTTGCTATTATAATTACCACTGTTATTAGTAATAGTAGTAGTAATAGTGTTAGTATTACTGAAATCACACTTTTCATTCAGTAAAGCAAAAACATTACAATTTTAATAGTAAAATTAAGGGAACAAAATGCAATAACACATATAGATGTAAATTAAAAAGTATACAAAAGTATATACACTCACAGAGCACTTTATTAGGAACACTATACTAGTACAGGGTAGGGCCTCCCTTTACTCTGAAAACAGCCTCAGTTCTTCGTGGCATGGATTATTGATAATATGTGGATCAATTGCCTGAATAAGTAGGTGTACAAGTGTTCCTAATTAAGTGTTCACTGAGCGTATATTGTATGCTCCTATAAATATCTCTGACAAATTATCTGCAATGCTATTTAAAAGTATGTATAAATTGTATATTGTGTTGTATATTGTAATTAAAATAATTTTAGAACGTTATTTAAGAACAGCAGAAAAACAGCATGCAATGAAAAGTTAAAGAGGTAGAATTTTGGCTGCCTGACATGTGAATGTAAAATCATGTGTGTGTATTTGCATAGGTGCAGTGTGAACTAACAAGCTTCTGTACGCCAAGTGTGTGTGTGTGTGTGTGTGTGTCACAATGGTGCATAGTTGGGGACAGGTGCATTATAGAGCAGGTGCTCAAAGCACAACCGTAAGTGCACACTCACACACACACACAGATTATATGTCTAGGATTGTGTGTTTGTTAAAGTGGATGTGGGCTTGTACTTGTGTGTTTCCTTCTCATGTCCACACTCCAAATGTTTCTCCAGTCCCAATCACCTGTTCATTAATCACTAAGAAATGATGTTTATCCATATCTATGAGGGTTCTCTTTCTCATTCTGTTTCTCTCGTTCATGTCTATTCCCCATCTGCTTTTTGCATCTGGGTATATTACTTTCCTCCTGTTCATTGTGTATGAATGCAGTTTTTGTGCGCCTAAAAGCACAGAATTCTTTCATGAAATTAGATTCCTGTTGTGCTTATTGTCTCTTGTCAGAATGTTCACAGCTAAAGGAAGAAGAAAAAGATATATTTCCATCCAAACACTGAGCAGCGTAAGAAAATGTGAATTGTTACGTGTGGTTCCATCCGTTACATTTATGTTAAATATTCTGAAGATGAGCAGCCTACAGTGCCTGAGAAAGAGGCTGCGAGGAACATTGATATTGTCATCAAAAGAGTGCCAGCCAAGCACACAGGCATGGTTAGTTGTTTGGGATCTCTTCATTTCTTTATCGTTACGGACATGGACAACGTATCTTAATATTTCATGCAGCTACACTCAGGGAAATATTGTTCGATATAGGACACACCATGTAGTGAGAAGAGTTCATGACTTACATGAACTGACCTCAACTACCATAAACACTAGGACTTGAAAACATATTTGGGCAGAGATATGTAAACACACACACACAAGCATTGTTGCATTGAACAACTCTTTAAAAAGCCTTTTCAGAAAGAGCACTGTGTACATTAAGAGGCAAAAGGGCTGGTGCTCAGGGAACCGCATCCACCCCAGACTGCATGGTAAAGACAAATGATAAATCCCTTAGCTAGCCTAGCAGGCAAGTGTGAGCACCACTGTACTTGCCCAATTTCATGTTTTGGTCACCTGGAAAGCTCAGTAACTAAGCTAAAAAGTGGTATTTTAACATAATGTAATAAAGTTACGGCCAGCTAGTTAAGTGCTTTAATTCAATTCAATTCAGTTTTATTTGTATAGCTCTTTAAACACTGGACCTCTGGCTTGCTCATTAGGGATCAATTTATACATTTAAAATTTATATCCGTAATTTATATTTCTGTAATACTGCTTTGTGACAATATCCATTGTTAAAAGTGCTATATAAATTGAAATTGAATTGGATTGCTTGCAGGGTGGAAATCACTTGTGTGATTTTACTTTGTTACTATACTTAAGTATAAGAAAGTAATGATACATGGTGACATGATGCATTGCTATGGTAAATTGTGACAATGTGCATCGTAGAAATGTGCAATTCACATCCTGTATATGAGCATTCTATTAGCTATGCATGTAATGCATTTGCCCTGTTTGAACAACAGACATTCCAATCTGCGCAACCCATAAAGTACATAGATAGCTCCAGACCACAAT